AAAGCAAATTACAGAAAGTAATTTCGGAAGTCTCAGTTTCCTCTACACACACATAAATCTTAAGCCAGAGTCCTCCATCAATGTTTTAAAAGGCTTTTGTCCGTTTGATTTTATTTCTTGGTAGTTTGGTTATTCTTTGATGGTTTTAACCCTGTTTCAAAACTGAACAGTGTAGGCTAACAGAAGGAGACCACAGGCTAATCTTATTTATGGAAATAAATAAAAAAACTAAAATATTAAAAGTTTTAAATTAATAAAAATATTTACAAATTAAACCTAGTGATGATTAAAAATAATAATGCATCAGGACTAAATAGTTTGTTTCAGGAATAAAAGCATGTTTCTATGCTAGGAATCTTGTTAATATTCTTCACTTATGTGATTACCTTCCATCGTACAGAAAAAACAATTTGTAAGAAATCAACATTTATTTTTGATAAGAACTAGGAAAAGTAAGCTTCCTTTTTTTTTTTTTTACCCTGTATTGAACTTGGGTCCTTGCGCTTGCAAGGCAGGCCACCGGACCGCTGAGCTAAATCCCCGGCCCCATGCTTCCTAAAGTTAGATTAAAAAGTATCTATAAAAGCAGCAAACATTTTACTTAAAAATGAAATATTGGCATAGCAATTAATGTTGGGAGAACTTTCATTACCCCTGAGTGTACTGTAGACACTAGCCAGTAAGTTGAACTTGGGTCCTTGCGCTTGCAAGGCAGGCCACCGGACCGCTGAGCTAAATCCCCGGCCCCATGCTTCCTAAAGTTAGATTAAAAAGTATCTATAAAAGCAGCAAACATTTTACTTAAAAATGAAATATTGGCATAGCAATTAATGTTGGGAGAACTTTCATTACCCCTGAGTGTACTGTAGACACTAGCCAGTAAGATAAGACAAGAGGAAAGTGGAATATAAACATCAGAATATATTTGATCAAACCACCCCTTTTTGTAGATGTGTGCAAGTTTCTACCTAGAAAATCAAAGACAAATAAGAAAGCTTTTAGAACAAATATAAGAATTTGTTGTTTAGAACAAATATGAGAGCTGACCAAACATAAGACAAAACTTAACTGTCACTCAGCAGTGGAATTTAAAAATTAGATGGTACTATTCATAACGATCATCAACACCAAAATGCTTAGGGATAGGCCTAAAGTGAAATATGTGAGATGCATATTAAGAGTACTGTATTGAAAAACTTAAAAAGAAAGATGAATAATGGAAAATTACAGGATGGAAAGACAGAGCTCTAAATTTCTATTCTCTTCCCAAGTTAACTTATAGATCCAATGGCATTGCAACCAAAATTTCTTCTTATATTTCCTCAAATGAAAAATGCAGTAAAATGACTAAAGAAATGAGAGAATACTTTTCACAGTAATTACCAAACCACACCATAACGTAATAACAAATTCAACAGTGGTTTTGACATAGAAATACAAAAGTATAGAAGTAGAACTGAGTCTACCCAGGCATGTATATATTAGAATTAAGCATTTACAGGTAAGCTGTTCTATCAATGGTTCATGAACGTTTCTTTTTAGAAAAATTGTTTTACATCTTACACCATATATGAAAAGTTCCACATAGTTTGAAGACATCAACCAAAAAGAGCAAAAGTGTAAGAGTACAGGAAGAACATGGAAGGCGCTTAAGTAATCTTTATGTGGGAAATGTTTTCATAGTTAAGACACAGAACACAGATACCAGAAGGAGGTGAAGCTTAAAAATTTTAAATGTGAACCTAAACCAAATTAAAAGAAAGCAGTACATGGGAGAAACAACATAAATACTACGTTTCAGAGTAGTTTATATAATACATAAAGCATTTTCAAATCAGTAAGGCAAGTTACTCAGGAAAAAAATGGACAAATGACAAAGGAAAAATATATTCATGGTTCATTGAAATTTGAAAGATTAGTAAGTTAACTTTTCCCCAAAATGCAAATTAAAATAATAAATTATGAGCATTTTTCATACATTAGGCTAGCAAAAATAATAATTGCTTTTGAATTTAGCATGGGAAAATGAACATTGTCATACATTATTGATGGGAATATAAATTAGCAAATAATTTTTGAAAATTATTTGGACAATTTTCACTTCAGTTTAAAAGACCTATATCCTTAAATCCAGACTTTCCATTGCATAGAACATTTAAAATACATGCACAAAGATTAAATATAGGAATTATTTATTGTAAGATTAAATAAATTAGAAATAACCAGTATGTCCACCATTAGTAACTGGCAATATAAAGATTCTATAAAACCAATATAGAGAACAATATAGGTTTTATGGGCTGACCTGAAATGAACTCCAAAATTTAACATTAAGTAAAAAAATTATATGTTGCAGAAAATTTGTGCAGTATGTATATATGTATGCAAGAGTAAAAATGTATTTAAATTTATATTTCTAGCTCTAAAACTGTTATCTCTTCATTTAAATGCATAGAAAAGTCCTGGAAGGTTACTCTGGTTGTCTAAGGGAGTAGCCTTATTTTTAGGAGATAAATGAATATTTTGTTTTTTCTAATTATCAGTATTTTTAAGAAGAGCATGAATCTCCTATTGCTCCTTAAAATGTCAAATATTGTTATCCCACTGTTAAGCACTGAATAGGAGTGCTGGAATTTACATTGTATGAGTAATACATTGCAGAGGAAGTTGTGTCTTCAATGGTTTAAAGGGTTTGCCTATTCCTGAGGCTTGTTTTATGTAGAATCACTTTTTTTTTTTGAGATAGGGTCTTGCTATATAGTTGAGACTGACCTGGAACTCACTGTGTAGCCCAGGCTGGTCTTGGACTCACAGTGATCCTCCTGCCTCAGCCTCCCGAGTGCTGGGATTACAGGTGTGTGCCACCACACGCACTTAGTACCACCCATGTTGAACCCTTGGTCTTGCTAATCAAAGTAAGTCAGGAGGTTAGGGTGGAGCAAACTGGCTCGAAAAGAGGCATTATGTCTTAATCACAGAGACCCAGGACAACATGCACAGAACATACTTCTCAAGCCCTGTAATTGGGACCAGTCAGAAAGTACTATCTTCAGTTCTTCATTTACACCTAGTGTCAAACCAAGTAGACTTTTTTTTTTTTTTTTTTTTTTGAGACAGGGTCTCACTATGTAGCTGAGACTGACCCGGAACTCACTATGTAGCCCAGGCTGGTCTTGAACTCACAGCGATTCTCCTGCCTCAGCTTCCCGAGTGCTGAGATTACAGGCATGCACCACCACGCCTGGCCTAAACCAAGTGGACTTTCGATAAATCTGACAGGCTGAAAAATGTGAGCTACAAAAGACTCCTATTATTAAACTCATGGCCATGGTAAATTCTCTGTATCATGTAATCTCACTCTGCACAGTGTGCTTCTTTTTCTACATTTATTTATTTATCTATTAGCAGTCCACAGTTTATTCAGCAATCAACAGGAGAGAACTGCCATCGTGACAGACATAAGGCAGATAACAGGTTAATTTCTGGGGTGCATTCTTATACAGAATAACAGATAACTAGGTTTTACAACATGTGGCGAGTATGATTTGTTGCATTAACAATAGCATTCATTCTCCCCCGTTTCCTTCCTGAAAGAAATCTGATTTTACCAGCAGAGGAAATGTGCCTCACTGGGGGGTGCCAACTCCATGCCCCTTTGCCAGGTTTTCCCACACACCATCTAATGAGATGTGAAAAGAATTCAGGAAAAGTTTTATTCCCAAATAAAGGTCAGAATTGAAGGGAGAAAGCCCTCTGCTCCCTACTTCCGGCCTCTGATTGGTGTTGAAATGTCTGGTGCAACAAACCATATAGCACTCACTGAGGAAACAGCCACTAGGACAAAAAGCAGACCTAAAGATCCCAAGAGGGGAGGACAGAAAGAACATGGGTCTTTGATAACCTCCTTGAGTTGCCACATCAGCACTAGATTACCTGACATATTAAGTGGAATTTTAAAATGGTTCAGTGGCTTCTAAGAGATTTTAAACAGCCATTTCAAAGTTGCCTAACTGTAACACTGGTTTCAGGAGTTTCATGAATAAGGAGAGGCCAGAATGTGGTCATTGTCTAGCAAGACTTTGTTTTAAGAAAGATGGTGCCACAATACTGTCCAGAATATATATGGAATCTTGATAATTCTTCTTTTCATAAATCTCATTATATAGGTACTTCCTCATTTCTAGGACAGGACCTTTTAAGTTCAGCACTATCAAAGCAGGATAGTCTCTGGTTACATGGAACAAAGTAAGGGTAAACAGGCAGCATTTTTGTATCTTTTTGTGTGACTTATGTTAAGGGTTGCCTTATAGATGTGACTTCTCTTATAGTGACCAGTTACTAATGTTTTGACAACCACTGTAAGGACGAGTCAAACAAAACCAATGAGGAATAAACAAATATATATGAATAAATTATATATACACAAATATATTAATGAAAAGGGGGGAGTTTAAAACAACATAGGTTCTTATTAAAATTTATTGGAATAATCTAGAAACCATCTACAATGAGCATGCTTTCTGACAGAAGTTATTGTTCGAAATACAATTAAGGGGCACACAGTTTGAGGTTTTCCCTTCAGGACTATCTTGTCATACATCAATAATTAAGCTCTGGAACTTCTGAGGAGAGACTAGCTAGTTCTAAAACATTACTTATAGGGATTATGGATTAGTCTGGTTCTAGATTAGTCTGGTTCTAGTCTCTCTAGAATACTGACAACATTCATGTGGAACAAAATAAGTATAGGCCATAGAAACAGACTCAAGTTAAGGAGTTCCCCAAAATAGTGACCATCTGGGTTGGATTTAGAAATAAAGGCTGGGATCATAGCTTGGTGGTAGAGTACTTGTCTACTAGCAGGTATGTGGCCCCAGGCTTGATCCCCAGCACCACAAACAAGAAAAGAGAAGAAAAAAGAGAAGTTGTTATTTTTTCATCTTCCTTAGGCTTCTAGCACAAACTCCCTAGAATCTCCATGATTTTGACCATTATGGAAGTTACTTGTTTTGGCCAAGTTTTTCTTTGTTTAAGGTTTTATCTGTTCTGGTCAAGATTAACTGCAATGCAGGGCTAAAGCCAGCTACTCTGAAGTCATGTATCCTTTTTCTAAGCAGTGGAGGACCCAGAAGAAAAGGATGGGAAGCTTTTTCAAAGGTCCACCCAGTGAGATTTTGGAGAGTCCACTTGAGTGGGAAAGAAAGAAGAACAAGACTTCTATTAGCAGGATTATGAGGATAACATTCAGAGCAATAATCCGCTTTATTAATATGGTCTAAAAAGACTTGGCAATATTCACTTTCAACGGGTTTACTTTGGTACAACCAGTGGCCTTGTTCTAAACTAGAAAACCACTGCTGTCCACAATCAGGACACTGTGAATTGTCTGAGAACATCTGGACTTAGAAAGACGTTACAGAGAGCAATGTAACACCGAGAGACAGACAGATGCCCAAATAGCCAGTCCTATTACAGGTTTGGTTTAGCAACTTCTCAGTTGAGCAAACATTATTTAAAGGGGGTTTGACTTTGGCTTGCAATTCTTCAAGATTTCAATGTCTGTCTTTCACTCAATCACAAGTCTCTGAACTCACGGACCAATCCAGCCTATAATGTCATCAGGCACTTACTAACAGTGCAGATTTCAGAACAGCTCCTCCAAAACTTGGCTTCTCAAGAAAAGATAGAGCGCTAGGCCAAATAAATTATATTTTCTTCTTGGGCTTTATCAGCTGGTGATGGTGTTGCACAGAGGAACTTGGCTTACTCTACTCTGTTGAGAAGGTTATTACATTTGGTGATACAGAGAAGCAGAGAGGTCCAGTGGGTCTTTTCCTGGTGCTGGCCCTCTTGCTGTTGTAATACACCCAAGTCCTAAGGCCCTGGCACCTTCCAGTGGTATAGGGGGCTCAAGAAACCCCGGCAGTCTACTTGAATGTGGACCTAATGAAGTCTGTCTTGGGAGATCCTTAACCTGGACCCAGTCACAGAAGTAGCTGATATTCAGTTGGCTGAAGGATCTGGGAATGCGTCACGTACGTACGTTGTTTCCTGTTTGTGCCTTTGGGAGGTGAGGGTGGGGAGGGATTGGTTGGGAGAGACCCGTCTTTTGATTCACCGAATCCCTCCATTTTTCTCAAATTACTGTTGGTATTGGTGGCCTGGCGTATCTTTGATAATACTGTGAATCCATTGGCTGTAATGTTACTTCTTCCGGGGCCACCTTTGGAAAACACCTACTGAAGAACATCTTGGGTCTTGGCAGTGGAGGCAGGAGGCAGCCCAGACCTCAAGCTGGCCAAGAGATGAACGTGCCAAGGATAGCCCGCCTTCTGCAGCCTCTCACAGCAGTCTCCGCTGCAGCAGTCGTGGGTTAGTATCCGAAAGGAGAGGGCTGCGGGATGCTATCCTCCTTAGGTGAGGACAGCGGAGGCAATAGACTCAACCGCAAGCCTAGCAATGTGCGCTCGGCCTCTACCTTGAGAGAGTGTAAATCGTGGATACTTTTACAAGTATCTTTGTTCAGGTCACCAAGAACCTGGAAAATCTATGGGACCCCAAAATTCAGTGAGAAGAACTGCATACATGCATGGATGAATTTGAAACCCAAGTTCATAGTAGAGAATTAGGAAGCAATTTAACAATTTAGAATTCTTAATTTAAAAAGAAATTACAATTTTTATTAGTTTATGTTTGCAGTATGTAACGATGACATTCGTCATGGGGAGCTGGTGCGTGTATGTAGCACATCTGAATTCTTTTTTCACCCCCTTCCCTCTCTCTCCTCACCCCAAGAATATAGATTTAGTGTCAAGACTTAGAAATAAGTGGTTTCCCCCTACAGTAGAAACGTTTACCTATGGAAAGACCTAACAGCTCTAGACAAGTGATGGCAGACCTTCTAGAGCTTTCAATATTAGCAAAAGAGCTGGCTGTGGCACGCACGCCGCAGGCTCGCCTCTACTGCTCTGGATTAAGAATAAGAGAACTGTGAATAAAAGAAGTTAAGGAGCAATGAAGAGTCCTATCATTGGATGTCTCATTTCAAAGGTAAAGAAATGGAAATGGACATCAATGACTTTTCTCTATCTGGCTGGTGGTGCACTGCGGTTAGAATCCTGCACCCCCCTAGTCACAATACAACCAAAGCCGTTGTCACAAAAACCCATGAAAGGACATTTTAATATAAATGTCACGTAATTCTCAGGTGTCAGGAAATATTATGCTTCTTTTTTTTAATCATTAAAAAAAGACGGCTTGCTAGTTGTATAAAAAAAATTGGCTCAGATTTGACCCATGGGCTATAGTTTGCTGACCCTTAAAACCCTACAGTTTGTTCACCTTTAACCACAGGGAGGGGAAAAAATGAAGTGTTTTCATCATGAAATTTCTTTCAAAAACACTTTTGTCCTTGAACTATCAGGGTAATTTTTGGCAGTGTTATAAAAATGATAATGGCAGTTGTGCCTCTATAGTGCTATGTGCCTTGCTCTTTTCAAGATACTTTGCCTCTATTGGCTCACTCAATTCTCACATTAAACCAATGACAGAGGAACTATTATTACCATACCTCTTTTACAGATAAGAAAACTGAGGCACAAGAAGCTTCAACAATTTGCCCAAATTCTCCATCTCAGCTAAATTAGTACGGCCAGATGGGTACCTAGCAGACTAATTCCATCAGGTGCTTACTTAACTTGGTTCACTACACTTGATAGAAGACACTGTTGTATATCTTTCACTTGAATGTTGACCACAAGGTCTAAAAGGCAGGATGTTTATATTTCGAATCTGTTTGTGAGGCAGATCTGCAATGAGAGTAATGGGAAAATGCTTAACAATTATTTATATCAAATTAATGCATATTTTAAAACATTTTTGAATGACATAGTTTAGCAGGCAAAATAATAATCCCAGGAAGTTTTCCAAAAAATTTCAACAATAAAATGAGGAAAGCTTTATTTGTTTGATTGGTACTGAGGTTAGAGCAGGCATCACACTTTGCATATGTATTATTTAGACTAAAAAGGAAAACACGCTATTGAAGTTAGGTTGTTGGAGACTGGATCAACGTGGCTGTCCTTAGGAAACCCAGAGGGCCCCCGACCAGGAGAGTAAGTTCAGCTTAACTTTCAAGCCACTAAGTAATCAAAACAAGGACGATGGACCATAAAGAGAAAATTGGTTAACAGGGACCCTATACTGCTGAAAAAAATATGACATCAAATGTAATAGGTCTGAAAAACAATCGATGTCTTATGTATATATGTATGTGTTTACTCTTTTGGTGTGTGTATGGGTGGCTTTTATCCATTTTTATGGGAAGGACAAGCTATACCCTGTAAAAATCTATTGTTCTGCCAAATTCATGTTATACCATTTTTGAGTTGATTAATATTGATTAAATCTTCTTCCCTCTATCATGCACTTACTTCACTAAAAATGGAGATGATAATATTGCCAAAAACATAGGCATGTTGGAAAGATTAAATGACATAATGCATCTGTACTATAAACTGCAAAAGAACAATGTATATATTAATTTCTTAATAAGGCTAGTGGAAAGAGAATCAAGCTGTACTTTTCTGTTTAAATACAAAGGAGCCATGTTACTGCCTCCATCAGCAAATTCAGATGAGATTTACTATTTATTTATGTTTTTCACCCACAGGTAGGAAACAACTAATAGTATAATAACTACTCTCAAAGAGTTTCTGGGATCTGTGAGAGTGTGTATATTCATTTTCTTTTGAAGTGTGCAGAGTCAGCATGACCTCAGAAACATCTTAGAGGAGAGACTTTATTAAAATATTTGTTTTATATTCTTCCTAGTGAGAAGCATTTTCCCAGTTATGATCTAAACTTTGCATATTAAAAAAAAAAAAGACCCGACCACTTGAGTGAAAAATGTATGTGCTGTATCTCTGGGAGGGGCCATGTTATTTGACAAAATCTCAGCACTTTTGGTAGGTCTTAGGCAGAGTTTCAAGATCGAAATGTATTTTTATCCTTCTGCTTTGTGTCCTTCAAAACTGCTAATATTTTTCTTTCAAAGTTAACTTTTATTTTTACTAGGCCCCTCTGCTACCACCCAAAGTTAAGCTGTTGGCAGTCTTTAAAATTTTGTTAATATTAATGGGATAAAACAGACATTCTTTGTGTTTGAGACAAATGGAGGATGAGTGGGACTTGGGCTGTGTATTAATGAGCAAGGTCATGCTGGCCAATTTTGGTGAGACACAGACACACACTTAGCTCTAAGAGAAATGCTATAGAGGAGTGTCTTTGCTGAAGATCCTCATATGGGTTGTTCCTGCTTGCTTTGGAGATGAAACACCTATGATGATCCATTATTTCAACCATAGCCAGTTGTGAAAAATGACCCTAATGCAGAGGAACAAGCAGAATTTTATCTATGACTATTAAGGACAAGCTAAGTGGCCTGCAGATTCCCCTGGTAGAAGGATAATTTGGGGAGAGACCAGCTCTTGAATACTGGTGAAATCTTATGCTAATGAATATGAGGGAGATGGAGGTAGCTTTGTTACATTCCAATTATATTTAAATGGAATCTATTAAGCAAAGTGCAGAGGTGGTTTATTTATTTGATTTAGTTTATTTAAATAAAGCAGGCATTCCATTTCTATATCCTACTTTAGTTTCTTTAAAAACTAACATTTCATTTTTATCTCCCTTTTATTCTATACCATATTGAGATACAGACCCAGAGATATTCTATCCCTGACCCCTAGTTCTGGCAATTTCTTCACTCTCATTCCTTTCCAACCTTCTTTATTCCTCGGTGGCACTGATATAACAATACTGTAACAGTAGACAGCACTAATTCTGAGCCATTGCAGTGTTTTCATTAAGCAGATCAACTGCTATGTGGACAGGGACTTGTGAACACATCTGTTCAACAGGGTTTTTCATTTCATATAATTTTCTGAAACTGCATTGGCAAAGTATCATTCTTATAAGCTATCCCCAAAGACAGGGAAATAGTTTTGCTCAACGGAACTCTAAGCTGAAAATGCTATTTATGATTATGAGATTCTAGCTATATTTATTTGCTGCCTTCCATAGATTAAGATAAACTCTGAGGCAGTGTTGTTTTGATGTGAATTTTGTGCTTTTCCTCACCCAATTATGGGGCTGAGCCTCTGAGGAGTTATTTGCTATTCTCTTGCCTGGTCCCTCTGGTCATTTGGCAAAGAATAGCGGGGCTATTGGTTTTGGATAGGAAGAAAAATTTGCAGAATAACAAGCATTATTTATGCCAAAGTAACTGGTTCTACTGAAGCCATCTCCACTGATCTCATTTGATAAAATTATATCATTTCCCCTCTCTACATATTTTCTCTCTTAATACCCCCAACTTTTCTCCTCTGTTTTG